GGGTTCAATCCCCAGTACCTCCATTTAAAGAATAAATAAATAAACCTAATTATCTCCCCCCTCAAAAAAAATATTTTGAGGGCCCCTAAACTTATCATGGGTGCCTGGCACCCTGCAGACTGTTGGTACTAGCTAAGTCCTTTGAACTGCCTGAGCCCAAATTCTAGCTCACCAAACACTGAGGCATGTGCCTCACTTTGCTTCTCTGTAAAATGGGGATGATCGCAGCTCCTGCATCACGGGGTTGTTTGAGGGCTCCTTGAGATTTTGCTCGAGAAGAGCTTGGCACAGGCCTGGCGCATGTAAGTACTGGGTGCAGGTACTGCTTAGCTGCAGGGGAGCATCCCATCCATCCCGTGAAGGAGGCAAGGGCGGGATGCCTTCTTATCCCCACAGTAGAGACAGGAAAACTGAGGCTCCCAGCAAGGGAAGGAACCTGCCCAAGACCACATAGTATGCCCTGGAATCAGGACTTTGAGGCCACAGACCAAGCAGCTCTCAGGCCCTGGGTGTTGATGGAAGCGGCTGGTCAAGTTATCCCAGTTGCAGACCAGGACCAGGGAGGGCAGGGACAGCAGGAAGGCTCAGGCCAGGATGGGGCATCTTGCCTTCTGTTCTGCCTGAGTGAACTCCAGGGAGGGGGCAGCAACCAGCCAAGGGGGCCGCTGTGAGCACATGGCTAGTGGGACCTCGATGTTTCTGAGCACGACAGAGCCAGGCCCTCCCCTCCATCCCGCTGACCTCCAGCCCCACTCTGAAGCCGGGCCTCGATGTTCTGACCTGACTTTGGGGACAGCAGCTCTCTCTGGGGGCCAAGCTGGACCAGGAGACTACTGTCTCCCCTCTCTAGGCCCTAAGATGACATTAAAAGGATAGAAGCTTCTAGTCCATGCTGGAATGTGGGTTTTCCAGCTGACTCAGACAGAGCCTATTTCTACAGCAGCCAGACTACACCACTGCTCGAGGATCTAATGACACAGAATTCACATCTGGGAGTGTTTTTGCTACCAGCCCAACAAGAAGGAGCCTGCCCAGGAAAGAACAAAAAGGAAACACCCCTAAGTTCAGCTGGCTGAGCTCCCAGTCTTCGGACTCTAGGTTCTCGGACAAATGGCCCCCGGGCCCCGGTGCCCTGCAGTGCACTCGGGCTGCTGTCTCTGCTCTCCCCGTGGGCCTCCCAGAGGCCGGCTGAGGGGCAGGGCAGGGAGCAGGGGCCACGCTGAAGGAGCTAGCACTATGGAAACAGGACAGACTTGCACTTGGCACTCCCAGGCCACATGAACTTAAGTTTCTCGGCCTCTCTGGGCCTCAGTATCTGCATCAGTAAAATGGGGGTGAGAAAAAGATACTAAGAGTACAGAGTACCAAACACAGCCTGGGCTCACAGCTCCGTGGTGTGAAGCTATTGCAGCGATCTGGGGAAAGGAGGATGTGATAGGAAAGGCAGTGCGAACAAAGCCCACAGATTGCAGCCCCCCAACTTTCCCCAAACTGCCTGAAAGCAAAGCGCATGGGCCCCGGTTTGGCCCCTCCCCTGGGGACTTGGCCCAAGTGTCAGACCTGGAAGTACTGTTGCATCACTGGGCAACGGGGGTTAATGAAGGGGAGTGGACAAGACCAGGTATTTAACTAATTGGGGAAGTGCCTTGAGATCAGAGGCGTCCCTGCTCACTTCCTTCTCCTGCAGCCCAGCTTCTCTGCCCTCTGCTCCCCTCCCCTCCCCCCAGGATGAAGCCTTCCCCTACTCTGACCTTACTTTGCCTCCTGGGTAAGTAACCTTCCTGCCTTCACCCCTTCCCTGCCCCAGCTCCAGTTCCCTGGAGGTCCCTAAGCCAGTCCCTGGGGAGGGCGATGGTGGGACCTCCTGAAGCCAGCTCTGCTTAAGCAAACCCTGGCCAGCAGAGAGGGAGAAGAGGGGAAGACTGAAGCCCAGGAGGCCCCAGGGGGCATGGGAGAGGGGCTGGCAGGGATCTCAGACAGCACACATGGGGCTCTTGCCACTCACACTCCAGCCATCACCTGAGCTTGGGCTCCAACCTCCCTGGGTGGGCCACCACCCATTGCTGCATCAGCAGGATCTGGAGGAATCCAGGGAAGTCCAGTTAGTTCAGAAGGTTATCCAGTGGCATCCGATGGGACATGGCAGGGACAGAGTGCTCCTGGGGGCATGGGGCTGACAGCTGGGGAGATCAGGACCCCATGGGAGACACTGGGAAGCAGCCAGAAAGATGGGTGGGGGGTGCTCTGGGAGATGGTGGAGGAGAGTGGGAGGGGGGCTGAGTGTGCCGACACGATGGGGGTGAGGACTCCAGGATGGAGGTGCGATGCTATCGTGATGTCATTATTGATTAGCATTGTTATTATTGGGAGCGAGGTGCCTGGGGAGGTGAGATGACCTAGACAATTAGAGAGGTCTCGACTCAGATTTGAGGGGACATCAGGGGAAGCTGGCTGCAGAAGGTGGGGCCCCGGGGGACCTGATGTCCTCCACCCTCCCTCCCCGCAGTGGCCCTGGCTGGTGGGAACCTGGTCCAGTTCGGGGTGATGATTGAGAGGATGACGGGGAAGCCTGCACTGCAATACAATGACTATGGCTGCTACTGCGGAGTTGGCGGCTCCCACTGGCCGGTGGACCAGACAGACTGGTGAGCAGGTGGTCCAGCAGCGGGGCCTCTCTGGGAGATGGAGGGGCTGGGGGGAGTGTCTAGGGAAGAGGAAGGAGCTGGGGAAGCATCCTGGGGAAGGAGGAGCTGGGGACACCTGGAAAGTGGGGGCTCACTTGAGCTCTTTAGGGACCCGGGCCCCTGGGCAGCCCCTGGTCCAGCCCAGCCTGGCCCACAGGCCCCTCCAGGCTGACCGTGACCTTTGCAGGTGCTGCCATGCCCATGACTGCTGCTACGGGCGTCTGGAGAAGCTGGGATGTGAACCCAAACTGGAAAAGTATCTTTTCTCTGTCAGTAGGCACAAAATCCTCTGTGGTGAGTGAATAGCCCTAGAGACCCCCAGATGTTGGGAGGGGGAGAGCTTCAGCCAGGAACCTCGTCCTGGGGTGACTCTTGGGCCTTGTCAGGGTCAGACCCTGGGCTGGAGGGGTGGGGTCTTCCATCATCAGGGAACTGGGGAGAGTCCTGTCCACCCACCCAGATGCTCACGTGGCACCCAGTCTAAAGACCCATCGGCTCCTGCCCTGGCCCCAGGCACTTCCCCCCACCCAAAGGCCTCCCTGCTCCAGCCTCTGGGGAGAGAAAGGAAGGGGGCAGAGCTGAGCGAAAGCCAGTGGAGCTGTGTTCTCACACTGGCCTCCCCTAGGCTGGGGCGGCAGCTAGAGACAGGCCCCCAGGACAGAGCCTTGAGAGCGCAGCCCCAGACAAGAGAGAGCTGGAGCTTGGATTTGGGACAGCAGACCTTGCTCCCGCAGGCTGACTCCTCTTTGCCAGCTCCAGTGGGCACTTGGGACAATTAGCTTTCCTCTGGTGCCAGGCCCAGGGAAGCTGACTGAACTAATTGAGAGGGTGGTGGAAGCTCAGATCAGAGAACGCAACCTTCTTCCTGCCGCAAAACCAGGAGCAGCCTGCAGGGAGGGCAGGCCCAGTGCAGGGCACAGCAGGAGGAGCTGGGAAGGTCAAAGACGACTCAGCTCAGATCTCTCAGGTCTGATCTGGGGGAGCGGTCGAGCAAGGACCAGAACCCCTGGGAGTATCTTTTGGCTCAGAGTTTCTGTCTCCTGCCACCATCCACTCAGCAAGGCGGCTTTGACAGGTAGTGAGCTCCCTGTCATGAGAAGGGGGTCATGCAAGGCTGGGACAGCCACCTATCAGGGACGGCATCGAGAGAATGAGTGAGGGGAGGTGCCAGGTGAATAGAGACACAGGCTGGGGGTTCATCTTCTACCCACTGTGTGACTTTGGGCAAGGGATGTAACCCCTCAGAAGCCTCTCCTTCCCGATCTGGAAAATGGCGATGATCACTCACTTCCCCAGCTTAGTCGGGCTCCTGGCAAGAACCACCCAAAGGAGCTGACGTGGCGCTTAGGCCCCTTCCAACTCCCGAGTTTTGCTGAAAGAGCAGGTGTGAGCAGAACCCTGACAGGAGATGGAGGCCGAGCTTTTAGAGAGAACATGAGGAACAGGGACATTTCTGAGCTATGGGATGCACTCATGGGGACAAATAGGGGCCAGAGCCACTCAGAGCAGATGCAGTGGAGAGAAGAGGAGGCTTT